TGTTTGGGAGGCTTACGCCTCACGCCTCTAGGTAGTGGAACACCTCGCGTCACGCCTCTGCGTTTTAAAACATTGGTTAGGATTTGAATTTGAATTCGAATTTGAGGTCTTCAAATCTGTTCGGATTTTGGATCAGATTCGGATGCATGTTTTCAGTAATCGGATCAGATGCAGAATTTTCTAAATCCGATCCGAGTCCGATCCGATTACAGCCCTAATATAGACATGGCCAAAGCCTAGCCACTTGTCTTCCTAAAACTTAATTGTTGAGCCATCTCCAACTTTGAACAACACGAAGTTGAGGAAAGGCTATTGGAAGCATATAATTCCCTTCCAAACACTCGCTCCATAAGAGGTCTTCACTTCTTTGGAATCCCACCCGAACCCAATGATCCCATATTTGCATGACACCACCCTCTCCAGTGGGCCTCCCTCTCAGAACCAAATCTCCACAGCCATTTCCCTAGAAGAGCTTTATTGAAGGGCTTAATTTTCTAATTCCCAGACCTCCATCTTTCTTCTCCCTGCAGACCCTGCTCCATTTTACTAAGTGAAAGAAATCAAAGATTATTTGCCGAGAAGGAAAGAAATAGGGAAGCCCTCATTGAAGCAATTACAACTAGAGTGATTCATTGGATGAAGACCCTGAAATTATTTGAAGGAGTTTCTGCTGCTGATCTGATGAGAAAGTGGGGGGAAGTGGCTGACTCTGCTCCATTAAAAACTGTAATTAAACCATCCATCCTGGGCCCCTCCATCCAATGGATTTATCAAATTGAATTTTGATGGTAGTAGTGAGGGTAACCCTGGACCTTCTGGGATGGAGGGGGGGGGGGTGCAGAGATGAGGAAGGCACCATTAGGGCTATATTTTCTGTCCCTATTGGTGTAGGTGACTCATTGAGAGCTGAAATCCTTGCTGCGATGGAAGGAATTCAGAAAGCCAAGGAGTTAAATGTTTCGAAACTGATAATTGAAGGGGACTCAAAGCTCGTTATTGGTTGGCTCCATAAGGAGGAGATGGACTGGTGGGAGTATATAAATGAAAAAGAAAGCTCAGAGATTTGGCTCAAGGAATGGAAATTCAATTTAAATGGATTAAGAGAGATGCCACTAGCTTGGCTGATGCTTTGGCTAAGCAAGGGGTGGGAAGAAACAACTTGTTCTGGGCTATGCAGTAATGTTTTCTTTTTGGGAGTGGGAGCTAAGAGAGTTTATCTCCCCTCTCCTCCTTGTATTTGCTTCTTTATTTTTTAATGAAATCCATTCAGTTATTGATTTTCAAACCCTTTGACTCCCCATAAGAACTCTCCATGCATTTTTTCAATCGAGCTTATCATAGAATGTGGAGATTTTTTTTTGATTGGTAATCAATAGGATTTCATTTCATTATAAGAGGAAGAAAATAGTACAGATTAAGATCAGTTTTTAAAGACATGAGAAGCAAAGCTTTTCAAGAGTTACAAGATTATCCTAAATCTTCCCAGAAGAGTTGAGCCCCATGTAATCCTTGTTTTGCCAAAGTATCAGCCGTCCCATTTGATGTTCTCTTGACCCACTAGAAGCTTGCCTCAAGATCCTTTGCTAAGATCTTTATTTCTCTAATTAGATGTCTGAACTAACACACACCTAGACTGCTGTCATCCATCCAGGAAATTACTAATGAAAGGTAATACACTGGTAGATTAGATTTCACACTCTTAATAAGAGTTATCCTTCCTCCAAGTGAAAGATACTCCCCTTCCAACCTAGCAATCTTTGATCAATTCTGTTAAGAACCGGTTGCCAAGTTAAAGATCCTGAAGCTTTTGCTCCAATCGGGAGACCCAAATAGGTAAAAGGAAACTCCCCCCCCAAGCAACCCAAGGTAGCTGCACACTCTTCCAATAGAGACTCGGAGATATTTCCCACCCAAATCATCACACTTTTATTCAAGTTGATCTTTTGCTCTGCCAACATTTCCAAGAACCTTATGAATTATGATCACTCTTAAGTTCAGCACTTACACAATTGAAACATCCAAAAATATCAAAGTGTCATCAGCAAACTGGACATGAGTAATGTGAACTTCATTTCTTCTTGCTTTAAATCCTTCAAACATTCCCAACTTTTGCTCCTTTACATAATAATCGACATAAAAGTTCTGCTACTAAAACAAACAACAAAGGAGATAGAGGGTCACCTTGTCTTAGACCCCTTGAAGCTTGAAAGAAAGGTGTAGATATTCCATTAACAAGGACTGAGAAAGAAACCAAGGAGATGCAAGCAAACATCCAATTTCTCCACCTTTCCCCAAAACCCATTCTAGACAAGACTTCTTCCAAGAAATCCCACTCTACATGGTCATAAGCTTTCTCAATGTCAAGCTTGCAGATCAAACCTTCCTGGCCACTTTTTAATCTTGAATCAACACATTCTCACTTGTAATCATCACCACATCTAGAATCTGTCTACCTTCCACAAAAGCTATTTGGGTTGGGTCCACAATTTCATGCAAAACTGATCTTAGTCTTCTACATAGCACCTTAGCTATAATTTTATAAGGACTTGAAATCAAGCTAATTGGTCTAAAGTCTTTTACTCTAGAAGCACCCTCCACTTTCAGAATTAATGAAATGAAAGTTGCATTTGCACTTCTCATCAACTTTTCCTACCAGAATTCATTCAACACCCGCATTACATCCTCTTTTAAGACATGCCAATAATTCTTGAAGAAAGAAAGATTAAAACCATTAGGCCCTAGGGCCTTATCACCCTTTAAGATACTTGCTGCTTCCCAAACTTCTGCCTCATCAAATTCTCTCTCCAATCAATCTCTTAAACCCTCCCCAATTCTTCCAAGTTCTAAATCTCCCAAGAAAACCTTTCTATTTGGGGCTGCATTATACAAATTAATGTAGAAAGTCCTGATTTCATCCACCACTTCTTTTGGGTCTTCAATGACTCTATTTTCCTCCTCCAACCTAAAGTTGAAATTTCTTCTTCTCCTACCCCTAGTTAAAGCATGAAAGAAGGATGTATTCTTATCTCCCTCTTTTAGCCATAAGGCCCTTGATTTCTGCCGCCACATAACTTCCTCCCTATGGATTACCTCCATTAATTCCCCTCACAATTTCTTTCTCTCTTTTGCCTTCCCTTGAAAGAGCATCCCTTTCTTCTAGCCTCTCCGAGTCTGCCATTTTCCTAAGAGGTTTTGCTTTTTGAATTGAAATGTTCCCAAGTACCTCCCTACTCCATACTTTTAGGTCTTCACTTTAGAATATATCCTGCCTTTCCTTCAAAGTTAGACCTTCTCCACTCCTCAACAAAATCCACAAAGGGAGGGTGCTTTAGCTAGGCCTGTCAGTGATACCTGAAAATCCGAGGCCCGATCTGACTTTTGATCTGATTATCTCAGATTCGGATGATGTATTTATGTAATCAGGTCGGATTCAGATGTTGCAGTCTACATTTTTTTGATAGGAAATGGTAACTTTCATTGATGAATTTAAATAAAGATTGACACCACCCATAGGATGGGTGGAGAAACCCAAAATAAAATCCTTATGAACAAGCCCCAAACAAAGATTCCCTATTTACTCCTTGCTTAGCTAAAGCATCAGCGATTCCATTTGCTGACCTTCTTACCCACTTAAATTGCACCCCATTCTCCCTTGCTAAGTTTACAATCTCTCTTAGAGGCTGTTTAAGATGCCACACTCCCGGGTTTCTAGATTGCATCCACCCTATTACCAGCTTGGAGTCTCCTTCCATTTCTAAGTGCTGCATTTGCCATTGTTTTGCCAATCTTGGGCATTGGAGTAAAGCCAAGACATCTGTCCTTAAGGAGTCTCCCACCCCAACCAGGCCCAAGTAAAGGTTCAAAACTCTTCCTTCTGCATTTATGATAACACCCCCAACTTCTGATGGTCCTAGACTACCTAAAGAGCTTCCATCCAAGTTTAATTTTACCGTGGACTGAGGCGGTGGAGACCAAATTTCTATCTTAAGTTTTGTCATATAAAATTATAACCTTTAGTTGCTAGTTTGATATAACTGTCCTATATTAATATTATTTTTGAAAGTATTGAAGTTGGTATATTTGAAATATAATTGTCCTAGATATGTTGATTTGTATGTTTTGAGAGGAAACTTAATGTTTTTAATAATGAAACTTGCTATTTTGGTAAATGGTATATAAAACTAGGGAAATGGGCAAAACTTGGTTTTTTTTTTATTTTTATTTTATGGTATTCTTATCACTTAGTTGCCCACCTAGGAAATTAGGTGACTAAGCTACCCACTATTGCCTAGAATTGTAGAGACAGTGAAATCTAGCCGTAGGGCTATTTTTGTACTTTTACTTTTCTTTGCTGTATATCTATTCTTTATACCATCTCTCTCTTGTACATTAAGGGCAGATCTGTCCTTTTACAACTTAATATAAATATATCTTTTAGGGTGTCGACTGACAGAAGGTGTCACACCCACCATTCGGCTATTCTCTCTTCTCTCTCTCTTTCTCTCTCTTTTCTGACTTTCGAACTGACTCTGACAAGAATTGCCTAGATGCCTTGATACTTCATGAATCAGGTTATTGAATTGAAAAATATTATTTCCAATTATTAACTATACAAGCTTTCTGAATTTAGTAAATCAGTAAAAAGTGATAAAAAAGGAAATACTTTGTTGAGTTCCTTAATCATAGCCTAGTATATTATAAAGGTCTAGTATATACTACTAGTTCATGATACTGTCGTCCGGTACAAGGGTGCCATGTTGTGTAGATACTCCAATTTTTTGTGTAAATTTTGTGTCCAACACCGTACCCAGTCATGTCCTTGTATCTTGGTAACATAGCTTCTAAAGTATCTGTATCCTGGTGATGCTTTGGCTTAACATGCTTGATTTGAAATTCTCATCTTTAATTCTTTTTAATAAATCTTATATAGACAGAAAAGCTTATTTAATAAGAAAATTGGTTAGTCTTTGTCATTATTTCACTGAAGGGCTCTTTCACAGCGTGCAGGTTTGGAACTGATGGATATGATGGCCGTGTACCAAGAAGGAGCATATGAGCGCCTGTGCAGGTGAGGTTTTTCAATGTCCAAAAAAAGAAATGTTCAAACATGTAAAAGTTTTTTTAGCCTTTATGCTTATATAATGAATATTACTATGAATAGAAAGAACATGCTCAAGACAAAAGACAAAGTAAACCCCACAGGCAAACACTGCAGCAATTGTACCCTCTAATCTGCAATGCACCACTATTGACCAAAGCCCAGTACAATAAAGAACCCATGAATCAGTATCTAAACTAGAAAGACCATTCTCAAAACTCTTCTTTTTCAATACAGCTTGCCACTCCTTTAAAATGACCAAACCAACTATAAAGACCCACATTTCAGCCAATGTTTTTAAAGGAAAAGGTGGAGGCAAGGTGGTTGGGGACATAAGGAGGAAAAGTGCAAGCCATGATACATACAAAAGCTAAGCCCCAAAAGATTTTCATAAAATAGTGGACAAATTTATAGATCATAAGTAACATAAAAATAAGCTAATACTAAACTACTAATGTAATCCTGTTAAGGTACTATATATAATATATGGGGCTTGCCAATTTTTATAAACCCTTCAATTTCCAATTTTCCATGCTATATTTCCATATAGGATCTCTAGAAGATCCATCTCCTTCTAGACATCGACGGTATGGGAGAAAAATCTCATATTTGGTATGTATAAATGTTCATACCTTCACTAAGAATTCAATTTTCAGCAAATGGTCATATGGATTTGATTGAAAATATTTAATATGATTTTTTTTTTTGAGAGAAGGGTAACTTTTATTGCAAAGAAAGGGGGAAGAAGGATGTACATGAGAAGATGTACAGAAATACCACAGAGGACCAAAACCAGTAAAAAAAGTAGGATCCTCCTAGAATTTACAAATCATTGAGGAGTCACTATGCAAAAAATTCCTCTCCACCCCTGATTTGACCAAACCATCAGCCACACAATTCAGCTCTCTAGGAATCCATCTAAAATGACAGATCAAGTTAGACTTGATTTCCAAAGTCTCATTGAAAATGCAGTTGAATCTCCAAGGACCCTCAACACCATTTCTTAAAAGGCATGGTGTTAGAATTAGCTGACACCATTTTAGAACATATTTTGGTATTCAGTCAAATAACAGTTTGCGACAACAATGTTAAAACTAATCTAGCAAATTTAGATGTGAGAGGGTTATAACACCGAGAAGGACTATTATTTCTTTTACGTAGACCAGTTAAAGGGCTTGCAAGATGATTTCGGACCAATATATTATTACCGAGAAAATAAGCTGCTAAATTCATGGAAATAAAAAAAGCAAAGATTAGAATGTGGTATTTTTGGGAAAAATCAACTTATTGAATTTTCTTTGAATTAAAGTAATGATAGTAGTGATTATGTAATTATTATTTTTGTTAGTTCTAGTCAGATCTTTTTGATAATAAAACAAAAAAATGCATTAAAGAAAAATGGATTACAAGAATGTGCAGGCTTTGTAGCCCAAACAAAAATGACAGCCCTTCTCAATATGAAAAATAATACATAAACCCGATTAAGGACTTGCTTTCAAATTTTGCACCACCACCCTCATATGATCCTTGAAAACAGTAGTTCATCCAACCACCTCCAAAAACAAAAAGAACTTGCTAGCTGATAACCTTGGAAACATCCATATTCTAACTTCACAAGTGGTAACCCAAACATGCCTATTTTTTACCCCTTTTTCTTCTACCTCTTCCTCTAGTGCTTCTATTGGACCACCTCCCTTTTTATCAGTAACGATGAGAATTTTGCTGATCAAATAAAACAAAGTACATCCATAGTTGTCAAGGCGTCTAGGTCGCCTAGGCAATGGAATCTGAAAGCATAAAATCTAAGGATCCCTACTTGTAAGCTGCTTTATTGGTTTTTTATACTAACTAGCATACCTGTATACTACCTATTAGCAATAAAACCATTCAAATGAGTAACTAACTATAAATTTCATATAAAAACATAAAAACGCCATCATAAATACATCATTTAAATATATTAAATCAATGTTTAATAACCTGTACCAGGCAAAAAAAAAGGAAATGCAGCAAGGAAGAGAGAAAAATAAGGGGGCTCTGTTTCGTTTCCAAAAAAGAATTTCTTTAAAAAATAAGAAAATAAAAATCCATGAATAAGAGGACGATTTGCACTGTTTTTAAGGGGCAGAGACCCTGTTTCAGTCCAATAACAAGGTTGAATGCAAGAAAAAAGGAGAAAAATAAGGGGACAGAGCCCCTGTTTCATTCCAAAATAAGGGGATGAAGAAGAAGAAGAGTCTCAGTCTTGTTCGCAAAAGTATTTAAAAAAACTAAAAAATAAGAGTAATAGGACCATTCAAAGGAGGAGGGGGCGTTGGCGAAGCCCCTGTTTTGTTTCCTACAATATTTCTTAAAATATGTAAGAAAAAAATACAAGAGCATGAGATGACTTAAAGAAGAAGAAGAAGAACTTACCTGGAGGTCCTGGATGACTTGGACTGAAAAACTCTTCTCAGTCGGTCTTCATCTTCTCTTCTCACTCTCGGTCAAAACAATGGAAACTATTCTGTCAGTCTTCTCTATCTTCTCAGTCTTGGTTTAGAGCCCAAAAAACTTGTAAACATACTCACTATTCTAATAAAAGAACTATCTTAATAAAAAAGTGTAACATACAACAGGGTGTATGTTAATAAAATAAAACCATCCAATAAAATGATATAAATATATGAGCATTCAAAAACATGATATGGTAATATGGAAACCATATAGGCGTTAGGCGAGGTGACCTCTAAAAATTGCCTAGTCATTAGGCATAGGTGCCGCCTTGACAACTATGAGTACATCTCTAATTCTCCAAAGGATTTAGAGAGATAGTCAATCAAAGATAAACACCATCAGCAAACAATAAAAGGCGATGATAAGGCTGATACAATAGTTTGAAAGCAATGCAATTATAAAGTTACCTGGGCCTGGCATTCCTCATTCTAATCAGTGCTGTTCGTTCCCAGTCTTGCTAAGCTGTTGGCCACAGATCTTGGAATCCATCTAAATGAGAAGTTTAGATCAGATACTAAAACTCTAGCTTTCCTGGTAAAAATTCTTAATGCCCATGGCCCATTAAGCCTAAATATAAGCTATCAAACTAACACTTGACAGTCCCCTTTGACTAGAAGCCTATTACAAGCATTATCAACAGATAATTTTGTCCCTTGAAGAAGTCTGGAGAGTTCTGCCCTTAAAAAAATTCCCACATCCTGGTCCATATCTCATCAGAATTCTGCGCTCATATCTAAAAACACTCCCATCCTGATTGTCCTATATTGCCAGAGGAACTCCCGTCAAACTTCAGTTTTATCACTCCCTTTTCTACCCTATTCCAAGCTTTCACTACTACCTTTCTTTGAGGGAAAACTTGCTATAGTAGATCACCTCCTCAAGATAGAATCAGCCACAATCCCTTTTAAATTCTTCTCTTGTCATCACCCAGTATGCCACCCACACCATGCATAGTCAAATAATGGAGTTTGCTTCTTGACATTTGTTCTCAAATATCCATGTATTTCTTATGTTAAATGCTCCAAAGGATTGTTGCCATAGTGCAACACCAAAGAATCTTCACCTTCATGGTATTTATGTATTTACTTTTTTTTTATAAGCTGTGTAAAAGTATTGTATCAATGAATAATGATCAACAGGAGGGCAAGACGCCCTCAACTCATGTACAAAAAAGTGCCTATGGATATGCACAGTTGCCAAAGAAGCTTCACCCTCATGTACAAAAAATTTTGGAAATTTTTTATCAATTCTCCTTTAATGACTTTTGGAGAAACTGGTCAGCAGTAGCAAGGTGTTCTTCCATTAATAATAAGGTAGTTACAAAGTGGTTTCCCCTGTCTGAAGGCTCACTGAAGCTGAATTTTGATGGAAGTAGCTTGGACAATCCAAGGTTATCTGGAATGGGGGGCGTTCTGAGGAATGAATCTGGAGAGGTTGTTCTACTCTACTGAGGTCCTCCAGGATTCGGAAATTCTGGTAGGGCAGAACTACTAGCTGCTGTACAAGGAGTGCAATTTGCAAACCAATTGGGGGTAGAGCAGCTAATTATTGAAGGGGATTCCAAGGTGGTGGTGGGCTGGTTGAAAAACACCAAGGATACTGTATGATGCTACAAGAATGAAAATATTAAATTAAGAAATTTTTGGATGACAAGGAATATGTTGGTTTCTATACAGTGGGAGTTGGTGGGGAGATCAGCAAATGCTTTGGCTGATGTATTAGCCAAATAAGGGGTAAATAGGGAAGAATGTTTTGGGCTCTTATTCCTAGTTTCCTTATAAGCTATTGGGAGAGGCTGCAGCTTGTGCCTCTCCAAGGGGTGTTGTATGTAATTACAAATCTAAATCAGTTTCTAAAGTAATAAAATTTCACTATTACTCATAAAAAAATGAAATATGTTTTGGAAATATTAGGACATTTATGGACATTTTAAACAATGGCAATGGTCCCACCATTTAAGTGCCTTTATGTTACAATGATCCAACCATTTGAGCAACAACACTTGACACCTTATTTGTATGTCTTTGCTTCCCGGAATCTTAAAATGAGCTCTTGTTGGGCTGGTATTTGTTAGGCCTCTGTTCCAAAGGGTGAATGGTGTGGAGGACGCTTCCTTTAGTGATTCTTTGGATTATATGGGGCAAAAGATTTTTTTTTACAGGGAGCCCCATTTAGGAAGCAACAGACTGGGTCCAAAGACCCAACACTGAATTACAACTCAAATAAACTTCTAGACCCCAGCTGGGTTCCAAGCACCCTGCTTTGAAGACCTTTTGCTGTAGCTGTCCAGGAGATTAGCTTGCCAAAAGAAATAGAAATTAAGCAGTTGACTTCCTTTGAACAATTTTGAAAAGTTCTTCAATTCCTTTCCTCCTAGATAGTGCTTATTACTGCAGCAGGAACTATCTTCCAAACACTTCTTGCCATCCTTGACAGGACTTGGAGCTCCCAACACCATAACAGGTCCTTCAGTCATTGGCATAGTCCAATATAAGCCCACAGAGGAGAGGTAATGCCCCCAGATTTCTGCAGAGACAAGGCAATGGATGGACAAGTGGCTGTTGTTCTCTTCTTCCTGGCCACACATCACACACATCAGGTCTTGAATCTGAATCCCTCTTCTGACCAGGTTCTTTTTTGAGAGGCTTTTGTCCAACACTATAGCCCAAACCTACTTTTTAGGGGGAAATCGGATTCCGGATTTTGTCAGCAGGAACCTTAGCTCCGTCTCCAACTGTTAAGCTTCTAGCAAAAGAGTTAACTGAGGACAACCCATCTGCAGACCAGTTCCAAGTCCAAGTATCTTCTTCCATCTGGTTTAAGGACTGGTTAGACAGCAGCTGAAACAGCCCTACCACTTGGTCTATTTTCCAATCTTGAAATTGTCTTCTGAAGTAAGGGTTCCAGGAAGTGTTGTTGCCTCTCAGTTCATAGCAATCAGCCACTATCACATCCTGATTTTCTGCAAACTGGTATAACTGGGGAAAGGACTTAGCTAAAGGCCTGCTACTACACCAACTGTCCTTCCAGAATTTCAATCTGTGACCTGAACTCACCTTTATGGAAAGTCCTCTATTTAGAAGTGGAGCAACTTCCATAATTTTATTCCAAAGGGAACAACCCAAAGAGGACAGATTTGAAACGGTTGCCCAGTTACCAGTGTCTGTACCATATTTTGCTGCTAATAATTTCCCCTACTAGCTTTCCCTTTCTTTCCCAAATCTCCACACCCATTTCCCTAGTAGGGCCTGATTGAAAATCTTCAAGTTTCTGATCCCTAGACCTCCTTTTTCTATTGGAGAACACATTGGGTGTGATAAACTTGGGATTAAGTGCAACTTTCATTGCTTTGGTTCCTAAAAAGAATGGTACAATCCATCCTAGGGATCTCAGACCTATAAGCTTGGTGAATAGCCTCTATAAGATAATAGCTAAGGTGTTATCTCACCTAATCAAGGGGATTAGGCAAGTCCTATCATTTCATCTAATCAAGGAGCTTTTGTACAAAATAGACAAATTATGAACCAAATTAATTGGCAATGAATGCATGGAGAAGATGAAAAGAGTAGGGGGAAAAAGGCTTAATTTGTAAGTTAGGTTTGGAGAAGGCCTATGGTCTAGTAGAGTGGTCATTTTTATTGGAGGTAATGAGAAGTTGTGGTTTTGAGGAGAATTGGTACAAGTGGATTATGGGATGTGTTAAACCTTCCATTATCCAATGCTAGACTGCTAGTAAATTGAATAGTGGTGGATGTTTTTCCTTGCTATTCGAGGAATCAATAGGTTGACGAACTCTCTCCTTTTTGTTTTGGCTTTCCTGCTCCTGATCCTACTCCCGCTCCAGTTCCTATTCCTAACACGACAACCTCCTACTCCCGCTCCTACTACCGGCAAGAGACGAGCTCCTACTCCTATTATTCCGTTGCAGTGGAGGTTTCGGTTTCTTATGCCAGTTTCGGGTTCCTTTTGTTCCTATTGCTTGTGTTCCAGTTGCCGGTTCATACTGACTATGTAGTATGCCGGTTGCCTATTCATCATACAAGACAAACTAACCAACCAGAGTGACAAAGGTGAGGAAAGACTACTGTAAATACACCAGCTTCAGTTCCAGCTGCTGCTAAATATGCTCTTCTTCTTATAAAGAGTGACAAAGCGAGGAAAGACTAAAGCCAAGACTCATATTCCTATTTTGAGTATTCTGATTGCTTTCCCGGTCAATTGTGGTTCCTGTTCCTACTGCTTGTGTTGTTTTCCTGCTCCTACTATCGGACTTGGAAAGAAAGGATAACATTACTATGACTCACAGGAGTGAGTTAGGGCACAGCTGCTGGGGGCTCATTGCAGATGTCTTTCATAGATTAATCTCTAGGGCTAATTCGAGACAGTTAGTGAGAGGGTACTCACTTGCAGTTTGCAGATGGTTTGATGTGGATTAGAAATTTGAAATCAATTGTGCATCTATTTGAACAAATGTCAAACCTCAAGGTGAACTTTAATAAGATCTGTTTAGTAGGAGTTAACATGGTGGATAGAGAGGACGAACTATGCAGCTACGTAGGGGTGTGTTGTATCTCCTTGGCCTCTAATTATTTAAGCTTACCTCTTGGAGATAATCCAATAAATTTTAGCTTCTGGAACCCTGTGTTACAATGATTCAAGAAGAGGCTTTGCTAGTTGGAAGAAGGGGTACTTGTCACTAGGAGGTACAATTACCTTGATTTGGTATGCCCTAGCTAATCTTCATGTCTATTACTTGGTTTTTAAGGCTCTAGAAGATGTGGTCAAGAAATTAGAGAAGATGATGAGAGATTTTTTATGGGAGCCAAGGGAAGGGAAAAGGGGCAATAGGGTTAAATGGGAGTTGATTAGTAGAAGCAAAAAAATGTGGTGGATTTGGCATTGGAAATCTTCAGAAAGTCATGCCTATGCTAGTGCTAGAAGGAGGAATTTTATCTCAAGAATACAAGTAGATGAGGTGGTGGAGTCATGGAGTGAAATCCAGGAGGTGGTTGGGTTGAAATAAACTTGTATACTTAGAGTTTGGAGCTGGATATCCCTTGGGGAGATGATTTCCAAAAGATTGAGTGAATTCTCAATGTATTAGATTGAAAGGGAGTTCAAGGTAGGTGAAATTAAGGAAGCTTTAAAAGACATGGATGGGGATAAGTAAACTAATTATTGAAGGTGACTCAAAGGTAGTAATCAGATGGCTGTTGAATAGGAAGAGATCCTTATAGCAGTACAGAAATGAACTCAAACGGTTTAAGTGGCTAACAAGGTCAATGTAAATCAAAATCCAATGGGTAGAATGGTTGGCTAACAGAATGGCTGATGCTTCAGCCAGACAATGCATAGGAAGGAACAAATTTGTTTGGGCCATGTAATATGAAATTATGAACATATAAGGGGTGGAAGTATGGTATATGCTCTCAATGGGTGTATGAAATTTTGTATAATATCCTTTGCTGTTTATACATTGTAGAGTTGTAGGGCAGTAATGTCATTTGTGTTAGCTGTTAGCATGTTAGCAGTGTTAGTAAGTTATAAGTTAGGTATGTCTGTTATTCTTTTAGTTGCTGACATGTTATGTTAGTAGGGGTAATTTTGTAAGTGTGCCACTATTAAATCTGTAATATATATATATATATATATATATATATATATATATATATAATTGAGTGGGGCGGCAAGTTATTGATTCCACTCTTTCTCTGAAATTCTTTCTCTTCGTTCCTCTCTCTCTCTTTTCTCTCCTCTCTTTCTCCCTATTTCATTCTCTGGGTTTCTTGTTGAAATTCTCATCTATACTAGGACTTATCTCAGTCCCTACTAAACAAGTTGGTATCAGATCCAACCTAGTGTTTCTCATGTGAATCTAATCGGATTGACTGCATGAGAACTTCCTAGGGTTGGAAGTTTTAGCAAGATTTGGCAATCGGCTGGTTCTTGGAGATCACCGGTAGAGTGCAGCACCTTTTCAAGAGATTTTGGAGTCTTGGAAAGAGTCTGGTGATCAGGAAGAATCGGAGAGAAGAAAAGAAACTCAAGATTAGGGTTCAGACTAAGGATTGGAAGTGGCAGCCAAGTATTTTTGGGTAAGTTTCAATCTTTTCTTGAGATCGACGCCAATCAAGAATTGATCAGAGTGGTCTGGGAGGAGTGACTCCAATCAATAATAAAAGTTTAGTATTGATTATTGAAAAAAATGCTACACTCCTGAATACTTTTTCCACCCTTTCGTCTTGTACTTTAGGCCTTTTGACTTTGTACTTATTATATGGCTGGCTGACCCTTTGAACTACAATTCATTACACCATTGTTCCAACAAATCAACCAAGCCCTTTTCCCTTAACCACATATATTTGAATTTGAATGGCAAGATATGATTCCACCGTAACCAAGCATCACTGGGGTGTGGTTTGATATTGGATTCGGCAGTGCTTCTTGGATCAAATCTGGAAGGTGTTCTTCCCAATCTGATGAAACTAGGAACCTGTCCAATTTTACTAATATCTTGATTGTTTGTCCAGGTGTACTATGCTCCAACCAGTGGTAAATCAATCAGTTCCCACCCGTGGACAAAGTCAGAAAATTTCATCAGTAAATTCATTAGAAATTCAATTAAAAGATCAAGGTTTTGCTGACCCAAGAATGTTTCAAGCACACGAACAAGGTAGAATACTAATTTGTGCGTTTACAATAAAAAAAAAGAACTTTAGGAGGAAGGGAGAATTGAACTGTCAACTTTCGGCCCGATATATGCATTTCTGCATGGTCTGAGAGGATATGTTGATAAAAGAAACTTAGCCATGTTATTGAGATCTAAAACCTACACATCCAAAAGAAATGAGGCTTGTCCTAAGTAAGGTAAACATTTAGAGGCTTACAAGCCTGTAATTACTATTATTTGGCGCATATCATGGATGAGACCTAAACCTAGCAAGTCAATTTGGATAACATATATGGCATGAACATTTATTTTCAGTGAAGTGAATTTGCCTCAAATAAATTATGTTTGTAATCCATATTTATCACACTTTGTTTTTTTTTGTGTCATGCTATTGCCTGAGTAACTAGTTGTACTGGGGGCCCGACATTCTGGGGTATCTTATTGTATTTGCTTGATCTCATTTTACTTTTTTGGTTAGCCCATGAGGCCTCTTTTGCCCCATCATCCTCCCCTATAGAGTAGGCATTATTTTTGGATTTTCCATGTATTTCTGCTTAATGGATCTTTTTCTTTTATTTATTAAAAAAAGAATGCATGTTGCATGAATAACTAGATTTAATAACTCTTTCTTGTTCCAGGTGGGTTCAATCTGAGTGTAGGAAATTGGGTGATAGTGATACCCCTGAAGTTGGTGACCTTCTGAAGACAGCTGTTCGCTGCCTCAAAGAAAGGCCTGTCCTCTTCAAGTACTGTGCTGAGGAGGTGATTCTGTTTATAAACTCAATCTATATCAAATACATGGTTGGTGGATCTGGTTAACATCATAGATGCTTATTATCACTAATCAACTTAATTTTTGCTCAGGTGGCAAATATGAGGCATAATGCATTATTTAGAAGGTTTATAAGTGCTCTTACACGTGGAGGACCTGGTGGTCTGCCTAGACCAATTGAAGTGCATGCTCATGACCCCTTGCGATATGTAGGTGATATGTTGGGGTGGTTACATCAGGTATGAAGTCCTCATTCCTCAATATTTTAGTCTCATCTTACTATTGTCCTCTGACACTCGTGTTACTCTTTACTCTGAGTAGGCATTGGCATCTGAGAGGGAGCTTGTCTTCACTTTACTTGATCCAGATGCAGTGATAGATACAGGGCCAACTGCACATCGCTTTTCCACAAGCGCAGAAACTGGTGCTTCAAAAATGGAATCGGACATGACATTTGTGCTGGATAGAATTTTTGAGGGAGTTTGCCGGCCATTCAAAGTGAGAGTTGAACAAGTTTTGCAGTCTCAACCCAGTCTTATAATTTCATATAAGCTCAGTAACACATTGGAATTCTACAGCTACACTGTAAGTTCTTAAATTCTTGCATCCCTATCAATGTATTTTGTGATTGTGTCTCTCTCCCATCCCCCACCATATATATGGTCATCCACCTTATGGTTTCTTCTTTACTTCTTTGTCTTGCAATCTTTCTTTTCATGGTGGTTTTTATTCTCCCATAGATTTCAGACTTGCTAGGGAGAGAAACAGCTCTCTGCAAGACACTATCATTACTCAAAGATGCTGCTCAGCAAACTTTCTTTGACATTCTTAAGACTCGAGGAGAAAAACTTTTGCGGTACCCTCCACTTGTTGCAGTTGATCTATCCCCCCCACCAGCTGTTAGGGAAGGAGTGTCTGTGGTACTTGAAATAATTGAGACCTATGATGGCATGATGTTTCCTGCATCTGGAAAGAAGCCTGACTTTGATCCGGTGATATCTGCTTTACTAGATCCAATTGTTCAGGTATCTTTGTGCTTATCTATTAACCTGTGCATAATTTTTCAAGGTAGTGTTCGTCATTACTCAAATCTGAATGGGCATAAGAGTTAACTCAATCCGATAATACACTTCCTTACCTTTTTTTTTCCGAAATGTGGGCTAGGAACTGAATTTTTATGAACAAGTACAATTAAGTTTTGAAATGTACTGCATAACAACTTAATGTTTAATTAAGTTGATTGCCATCATTGTACATGCTTGGGTTGCCTTACTTTTGGAACTTTAGTGCTTCAGTTGTCAAGAATGAGAACCTGGTGAGCTGAGCTTGCAAAGTCAGATCTGTTGTACCTTTCAAATAAAAAAAAGTCAGATCTGTTATACCTTTCAAATAATAAAAAAGTCAGTATCTGTTGTAGGCACTGAGACAGACAACTTGGGTGGGAATCTTGCCACTATTTTGGATGAGCTTTAGTCCCCCGAGCACTTACTGAGAGGGGGGGGGGGAGGGAACAACATACAGGCATATAATAGCAAAAGTCCTGAAAGAAGAAAAGATACCTACTCCATAAAATAAATAAAAAAATTTCAGACCAAATTAGACCAAGAACTTGCCATTGGTGATGCTGAGAGTACACTTGGGTTTTAAACCATGCAGCATGTGAAAGCACTTGTCATGGTCCTTTCAAATTGAGTACTGTGATGTGTTTTCTGAATTAGTTAATCAATATGGAAATTTTAATTATACCCTCGGCCTGAAAATAAAGAATCTCAATTATGCCTGTAACCGCAGATGTGTGAGCAAGCAGCAGAGACACACAAATCCAAAGGAGTAATCCACTCATCAAGGAGAAGCCGGATGAGTTCAGATTCAGGCCATAGCAGTAAAGATTCTCCATCATCTGTTGATGCAATTTTGACAAGCAGCAGCTCAATCTCATCATCACAGGTTTGTACATGTTTCATATTTCAGATCATGTGTTTTCTATGCATTGTTTTCGAGTGCTGATACAGATATTGAAACATGTTCCTATAGAGGGAACATCCAATATTTCTATACTGCTACCAATATCTAAAATGGTGCATATTAAATACCCAGAATTGGACCATCAGTAACTAACATCCAATATTTCTATACTGCTACCAATATCTAAAATGGCGCATATTAAATACCCAGAATTGGACCATCAGTATGCACCCTTGAAAATTCTATACTTTCAATAACCTGAGTGGACTATTGGACGGTGTGATCTTTGACCTTTAATAGCGTACTTCCTATCTCAGTGAGATTGCTACTATGGTACTGGGATGCTTGATGCCTAGTATACTGTTGGTGGACATAATACTTGATACAAAATCATATATATATATATATATGTATTATCAATAACATATTCATTTCATTAATGAAAAATGAAGGAAAGGTACAAATGTAGGGGAGATAAACTCTCTTAACTCCCCCAAGGAAAAGAAAGATTACAAATTAGCCCAGAGCAACTGATTTCTTCCCACCCCTTGTTTGGCTAGTGCGTCTGCAAAGGAATTGACGCATCTCTTTACCCACTGTAATCTCACTGTCATACCCCGAGTCAACCTCTTGAAAGTTCTTTTTTCATTCAGGTAGCTCCACAACCTCCTCTCCTCCTTTTGTAGCCAATCTATTACTAGCTTCGAGTCTCCCTCAATTATTAACATTTCTACATTAAGCTCCTTAGCCTTTTTAACACCTTCCAAGACAGTCAAAACTTCAACTCGAAGTGAATCTCCTTCCCCTACTGGGCCTGAAAACATAGCAATAAAAACCCCTCCAATGCCTGAAGGGCCAGGGTTCCCTTCACTACTTCCATCAAAGTTCAGCTTTATAAAGCCGGAATCTGGAGGAGTCCACTGTGGTAAAGTGACAATCTTGGCAGGAGCTGAACATGCCACTTCCTTCCAATCGTTTAACAAGGCTGAAGTGGTTGTCTTCAAATAGCTTTAGAGATTTTACCCAATGTATTACTCTTTCGTAATTACTTCAATTATTACCTCTTTGGATCTTTCCTTATCAGCAAAAAATCTTTGATTTCTTTCCTACCAAACTGTCCAACATACTGCAGGCTGCAGCCCTTGTGCATCTCCATAAAGCCTTCCCCCTTTTCTTTGTACAGGTACTCGTAGCAGGACCAAAAAGGCTTTGAACATCTGGAGGAGGAATCCATCTGCAACCAAACAAAGAGATAATCCATTTCCAAATAGAAGAGACAAAAGGACAGGAAATTAATAAGTGAAACAGGACTCACCATCAGCTTTACAGAGAACACACAAAAAGTTAGGAGATAAGCACCAAAAAGGCTTCTTTCTTTGAAGGAGATTACTAGTGTTAATCCTTCCCAAGGAGGCTTCCCAACAAAAAGCACCAACCCTAGGTGGAATCGGTTTACCCCAGACTTCTTTAACAAGAAAGGTTTGCCCAACAAAATCAGTAATTGTTAAAGCTCTAAGGAGGGAAACACAGGAAAAAATACCAGAAGAAGAGGGGGTCCAAATACGTGAATCCGCCTTTGAAGGGTCCAGGCAGACACCTTGCAAGATATGAAGAAGTGACAAAAGGCTGTTTAGATCTGAATCCCTGGTTCCCCTTCTGAAACCCAGATCCAATCAAGCTCGAGACCATCAGCATTAGAAGAAAGGAAGTCGGAAACCAATTTAATCTTATAATCAGACAAAGCATAGAGAGAGGGAAAACAATCTTTCAAGGGTGAGTCTCCTACCCACAAGTGCTTCTAGAAATTAACCAAACAACCTTATAAAAGGAAGGAAGGAAGGAAGGTAGGATAGCATGTATCAACTTCCAAGGAGAAGCACTAGTAGCTCGAGCCAACACTCCTGCATCCCAACCTTTAGCCGTCAACCCATGAATACTCAAAATTACCTTGGCCCACAGTCTATCCTTCTCTATTGGAAACCTCCACAACCACTTCCCTAGTAGGGCTGTATTTCTTTTCTGAAAGTAGCCAATTCCTAATCCTCCAAAGTCCAAACCCTTGGTTACAGTTTCCCAATTGACCTTGTGGTCCCTTTTTTCCTCCCCAAGTTCCCATAAGAAATCTCTAATTATCTTCTCTAGACTTTCGGAGACCCCACTGGCATTTTAAAAATCAATAGAAAATAAACAAGTAGGTTAAGGTCAATTTGATTAGGGTTATCCTCCCAACCAAAGAATTGTAATTCCTCATCCAAGAAGTTAATCTCTTTGTGACTCTCTCTAACACTAGGTTCCACAAGTTTCCATTTCTCGGATTGTCCCCTAGTGGAAGGCCCAAGTAAGTTATAGGACAAGTTGATACTTCACAACCCAAGATAGCAGCACAATCTAACATCTCCCTTGAATCTATATTCACACCTACTACACAACTCTTATCAAAATTAATCTTTAAATTTTACATTTGCTCGAAGAGTTGGACTACTAGCTTTAGATTCCTTACCCATCTTTTTTCCCCCCTTCACAAAAAAGAATCATGTCATTAGCAAACTGCAGATGTGTAATAGGTACTCTATCTCTTCCCACTCTCCACCCTCTCACCGGGTCCCTAGAATCTGCCTTTTGTATTAGTCTCCCTAACACATCAGCTACCAAAGTAAAAAGAAAGGGGGATAGAGGGTCGCCCTGTCTGATCCCTCTAATGGCTGGGAAGTGATAAACTACTGTCCCATTCACCAAAATTGAGTAGTGGCAAGTCCTCAAACAACCTCGAATCCATTTACACCATTTCTCCCCATTGCCAAAGTTCTTCATGACTTCCACCAGAAAGGACCAATCCACCAAATCGTAGGCCTTCTCCAGATCTAGCTTGCAAACTATACCCTTCTTCCCATTTCTTCTAAAATCCTCAACACCTTCATACGCAATTAAGATCTGGTCAAAAATTTATCTATCTTTTACAAAGGCTCCTTGGTTTGGGGATATGATAAAGGGAAGCATGAATCTTATTCTTCAAGACAGCACCTTTGCAATGATTTTATATAAATTGTTCACCAAGCTAATGGGTCTGAACTCTTTTGGATGATTTGCCTCCGCTTTTTTTGGGATCAAAGCAATAAAAGTAGAATTCAAGCCAGGATTAATTATCCCTCTCCCAAAAAAACTCATTGAAGACCCTCAATAAGTCCTCTTTCGCAACATCCCAACAGTCTTGGTAGAAAGCCATTGTAAATCTATCTGGACCTGGTGCTTTAGCTCTATCCATAGAGAAGACTGCCTCCTTTATCTCTTCCAATTCAATCCTCCTTTACAGCCAAACCTTGTGCTCTTCCCTTGGCCACTCTAAATCCTCTACCCTCAGTCTCTCCATCAGAGGTCTCCTAAAGATGGATTTGAAATGATCTACAAAAGTTCTAGCAATTTCACTTTGAAATGAAATATTTTCTTCTTCTACTGCTTGCTATTGCATGGAAGAATTTTGTATTTCTATCCCCTTCCTTTAACCACTTGTGTCTAAACTTTTGCTTCCAACTTATCTCTTCTTTAAACAAAATATCTTCCAAAAGTCTCCTCAAAGACCACTTATGCTCTTTGTCATCATCCCCAAAAATACCTTCAGTTTCTTTGTCATCCAAGGCTAGGATATGGTTAACCAACTCTTGTTTTCTCTCCTCCAACCTCCCAAACTGTTGAGAGTTCCACTCCTTTATTTTCAATTTCAAGTCCTTTAGTTTTTTATGGAACTTCATTCCCTCCCAATCTACCCTTGGGTTGCTGCCCTCCCACAACTCCTTAACTTTCTCCTTAAAACCAGGGTGGCTAAGCCACATTTTCTCAAAATGAATAGGAGCTGGACCCCCCCCCCCTCCCTCTCAAGTCCTCCTCAGATAGGAAAATAGGCCAATGATCGGAAGTAATCCTAGGTAGAGCTTTTGACACCAAATCCCCCCCAATGATCCTTCCAGTCTACTGTGAAGAGGAATCTATCAAGTTTAGAGCAAATTGGGTTGGCCTGTAAGTTGGACCAAGTAAATTTATTATGCAACAAAGGCAACTCTTTAAGTAGGACCAAGTAAAATTCCTCATACTGGTACTGGTAGTGACTCTCGACCTATCTTTATTGGTTTTCTCAACTAACCTGATCACATTAAAGTCCCCCCGGTACACTAAGGCCCCTTCCAAAGTCCCCTAATATCCCCCAATTCATCTCAGAACTCTTTCCTCCCTATAATCATTTGGACCATATAAATTAGTCAGGACCACTTGAATCCATCATTCAGTTGCCTAAACTTTATTGACATCGAGAATTTTCCAATCAGTTCATCCACCCCCTGCATCAAATCACTCTTCCAAAGAGTCACTATTCCACCTGATAAACCCCATGATGGAATCATAGCCCAGCTTATACCCCTTGCTTTCCATATGCTTCTTGCCCACCTGTCATCAAGCATTGCCAACTTTGTTTCCTGAATGAGAACTATATCAGGGTTTTCTTTCCTTAATGTTTTCTTAATTAGAGCTCTCTTTCTGGAACTTCCCAATCCTCTCACATTCCAACTGATCAATTTCATTTCAATTCTGTTGTTTCTTCCCCCTACTTAGAGCATTTTCCCCTATTTGTTCCCCCTTTTTCTTCCCTTCCTTTCACTGAATTCGTTATCTCCCTCAACATCCAATCTTAATCTTTCAGCCTCACTCAGCTTCCTCTTTCTAACTTTGCCCTGTTCCTTCCTTCCCCCCAAGTAAGTTTTCAGAGCATTAGGATTCTTAATCTTGCACCCCAGCTTGCCAACAAATTCAGCCAACAAGTCCTCTTTGCATCTATCACTATTATCCCCAACTTCCTTCCAGATTTTGTCTTCTCGCTGCTTAGGTCCTGACCTCTTTGCAGGACTTTCAGTGTTGGACAGATTCCCGTTTCTTAACTCAGCTTCCTTCAGATCCTTCAAAAAACTCTATTAATTCCCATATTCTTCTCCCCTGTTCCTCATCAGATAACCCTCCTAGCTCTCTACCCTTCAACTGTCCTTTGTCACATTTTTGTATGGGCACTTCTAGAGTATTACTTCAACGTTAAAACTTCTAAAATATGTAAAATGGTTTGTTTTATCAAATCATACTATAAAAAATCTTCATATGTTAAAAGCTCTATTAAATCTGCATAAAAGTAGAGGCATGGCACATAGCTTAAAACTAGATATAAATTATAAAATCTTGGTAAACATGTTGAATCCGATACTCACACCCATGTCTATGTCCTGCATCTTAGGAGATGAAGCATATTCCTACTTCTCATATCTCCATGAGACTGTGCTAGTCAGTTTTTGTATCACAGCATCATTGAGTGGCTATGATAATCCATTTGGTGATTTTGTTATGAATTTTCTAGGGTGATAGCCGACCCCTAGGACCCAGGCATCTGCTTTGTGTTGCCACATGTTCTTCCTGGGTTTTAATTGGATATAATTTAGCAGTCAACTATCACATCTTCCCTAGTTGAGCATTTTGACAAGATTTTACAGGGACTTGAATCTAACTAGGTAAGTTTGTCTGGTTGTTTCTGTTTTCATTTTCCTGATACTGTGTCATCTTCATGGGTCTGTCCAGAATGCTGAAATGTCCTCAAAGATATTTCTTATCAATTGCTTATCATCCATCCAGCAACCATTGTTGGGACATGACGTTACTGCAGAGTATGTTAGGAACCTTGGAGCAATGATAGAAAATCATATTTGTGTTCTGGTGGAAAAGGAGGTAGATGGTATACTAAGAAGATGTGGCTTGTTGAACAAGATGCCTCACATCCAGAATTCAGCGAGTGAGGAAGATAATATGCCACCATTAGCAGAAGTGGAGGACATGTCACCAATGTCACTTTCAGAGAGTTTGAAGGTTTTCTTTGGACTTGTTTTAGGAAGCGAAGGTTCCTTACCAGAATTTGAGCAGATGCAGGTACCTCGGCTTCGTTCAGATGCTTGTATCCGTGTCGCAAAGTCACTGGCAGAAGCTTATGAACTCCTTCATAATGCAATCATGGATCCAAAGAACCGTTACCCAGAGCCGAAGTCCTTGGCAAGGCATCCACCAGATCAGATAAAAACCATCTTAGGGATTTAAAGCTGTATGTAGAAATTATATCCTTGTTAGGTACACAGATTTTGAAAATTCTTTTGTTGTTTTCCTACATACTGAATTCAGGTGTTTGTTCATTTCTGTTACAAAGATAAGTTGGTTGTGGTTTAAAGCATCAGTTAACAATTACAACATTTTTGTAGTCATGGAAGTATTATTGCACTGGATTGTTAACCCATGTTTAATGGGTAGGCAATACTTGTTACACTAATGCTTCTGCTCCTGTTACATTGTGATTTTCTCTTGCTCTATAGTCCATTAAGAGCACCGTTCGTAATATTAATATTGATGAACATTTTGCCATGTTGAGTTGGGGAATTTCAGAGACATTTTGGTAATTTTGCTAAGATATTTGGAAATTCTAAAAAATCAGGAAAGTTTTATAAAAAGATTAAATTAGTTAATAAAATTTTAAGAGATCATTAAAAGAATTATAATTGTACATTTATGGCTTCAAAAACCATAACAAAGAATTGTCTGCCTTCTGGTCTTTAGCTATCTTCTCTCTTTTTATATATGTCAATCGCTTGCCATTTCAACTGTCTTTATTGTTACTTGTTTTGATTAGATTGCAAATGCTATTTTGTAGTTATATGCATTTTCTTCTTCTTTTGAATTATAGTGACTTAGTGAATCATATTAAAGTAGTAAGCCAATTATCACTAATACCTTCTCATTTTTGAAAAATTATGATGATTTTAATGAAATATTGAAAACTTTTAATAATATTTTAAAATGGTAAGTCGCTTAAACCTCCCTTGGATTTTCTGAAAAGATCCTAAACCTCCCCTCAACTTGACGTGCCCTTAAACCTCCCCTGACTTTTGGGGATAAAGGGACTTATACAACCTTTCTATTTACCATTAGAAATCCAATAGCAACTTCTAGTGTCATGGATTTAAACATATTATAAAGCCAATTTTGCTTTATGTAAAATCGTCAAATGTTTGATGATTGAAATACTTGTAAACCTTTTAACTCTTTAACCAAAAAATAAAATAAAATACCCTTAAACCTCACTTTGTCCAAAAATGGATTTGTTTATGCTGTAAAATAAGATGCTAAAATATATTTACTTGTACTAACAATTAACGGTGAAGTTGGAACTTGGAATTAGGAAAAATCTCCTAACTTGGTAGTAAAAAGTAGTAGGGGAATAGCAGACATTTAATGTCTCTATTACTTAAAAGTAACAAAAGGTGTCTAAAAGCCCTCTTTATCCCCAAGAGTCAAGAGAGGTGTTAAGGGTAGGTCAAAGTTGAGGGGAGGTTTAAGGCTTTTTCAGAAAACCTAGAGGTTTAAAGGATTTACCTTATTCTAAAATTTTAAACTTTACATATAGGCCCCTTAGTTATTTATCTGGTTAAGTGTTTCCTAGCAAATATTTACCCGGGTAAATGTATTTATCCATGTTCTTTTATTTTCTATGTAAATAAAACAATGACCGTTTTAGAAATAAAAAGCCATTATTAAAAAGGGTAATTTTGTTCCATCTAAGTGTTAACAATTTTTTCCCAAAATTATTTACCCACCTCGGAGAGTGATACCTAGGAAAAATAAAATTTTCATAGACCCTACATAAATCTGAAAAAAGAATATAGGAATCTTGGTCAATGGAAACCAAAATCCCATTGACCAACTTTTCCCCCTCTCAAAATCTAAAAAAAAAAAAGAACATGCCCATATAGTTTATTATTGAAATTTGAAATAGCACTACTGACAAAATATCAGACATATTTGAAAAAAAAAAGAGTCCAGGATGATCACACCTAACAAATGAGAATATATCATAAATATTGTGCCAAAATATCGTCAATATTGCAAGGATGGTTAAGAATAATTTGAGGTAGGAATGGGGACAATAGTGTACCAACCAATCAGGTGGATGGGTTTTATTGATTTGCAAGGCAAGAGTTGTGCCTCTACTTTTGATACTGCCTGCTTTTACAAGCCACTGTCTGGGTCCTACTATCCTACCTCCTACTCTATCAGTCCTACAATCTGTACTTTGAGGTTAATTGTCACAATTTTCATTGACATCGGCTATGTATATTTTCTTCTTGCTTGAACTGGCATTAACTTGTTAGGAGCTGGGACGCAATTACAGGAACTTCTATACCATTGTTGTCATTCCATTAATAAATTGACTTCAAATGTGTCATGCAAAGAGCAAAACGGGAAATAGTTGGAATGTAGTGGAATAAACTGATTTCCCATTTTCAAAGCTGCCGCTGTTATAAATCTATATTATTTTAAAAAACATTAATAGCCTCAAGAATATTTTTAGAATTTTTTGAGGACAAAATTTATCTCTTTATATTTAAATTTATTGATAAAAAAATGAGGGCAAATAGGGTAATTGGTTATTGATATTAAATGAATTGAAAATAGGTAATTTTAAGATATTCAATGCATACAATTCCCTTGCATTAAATCCAACATATAAGGTATTAACTTGCATTTACCTTCCTTGAATCATATATTTAAGGCATTTTGTTTCTTTTCATCATTAAATTTTATTAATTAAATCCATACATAATAAACTAACAATTCTAATAACATAAAAATTGTACTTTTAAAATCTACTTGAAAAAATAGTGTTTTCATCTAGGTGGTGGTAAGAAATTAAACCATTTTGGGTCAAATAAGACAATCCATGTTGCCACAATTAAATAAAAAAAATCAAAATAGATAAAATGCAGAAAATATAAAAATTAAAAAAAATGGGAACATTTTTACCATCATATGTTGGACATATTAAACAATAATAAATATGATAATTAATAAATGTTTTTATTAATTATGGAAATGGAATGTAAAACTTAAAACCAATTGAAAATAAAATTATTTTCCTATTCCCTCTCATTAAATCTCATATATAAGGTATATTCCTCATTAAATCCTATATTTAAGATATATTTTTCTCATTATTAAATTGTACTAATTAAATCTACAATATTAATTTTAATAGTATACAAATAAATATTTTAAAAAATAATTTGAAAATAAAACATTTTCTTTCCTCCAGATGGTGGGTAAGCAATTCAACCATTTGGGGTCAAATGGGTTAATAAATAATGATAATTAAATAATAAAAAATAAAATAAAATAAAACATATAATACAAAAAAATAAAAAAGAATTGGGCATATCTCTAATATTGTATATTCATTATACTAAACAAAAATAAGTATGAAATGTAAGAAGTATTTTTATTAATGATAAAAATAGAATGCCAAATTTAAAACCAACCTAGAAATGAAATGATGTCATAACCAAATAATAAAATTAAAAAAAAAATAGAATATACAAAGAATCACAAAAATAAAGAAATAGAGAAAATTTTGGGCATATATCTAACATTATATATTTATAAAAAAAATAAAATATAGGGTCAATGATAAGATAATTAATAAATCTTTAAAAGTAAAAAAGTATGAGTAATTAAAAGAATATATAAAAAAGTATATATTAATTATATAAAACGAATATTAAGTGTGATAAGTAAAAATTATTTATAAAATATAGATGAAATATATAATTTAAAACTGATATGAAAGCAAACTTATTTTCTTATCTAGATGGTGGGTCAATGATCCAACTTTTTAAAGAAACTCATGATGTCACAATTGAATAGTAAATATTTAAAAAAAAGATAAAACACAAAAAAATGAAAAAGTATAGAATTTTGTCAAAAACATTTGGGAATATTTCTAATGTTATATATTCATCATATTAAATAAAAATAATTGTTAAAATAAAAATTATTTTTATTTATGACAAAAATGGAATACAAAATAATAATAATTGTAATTGTAATTATAATTTAAAATTTCCATGTGCAATGTACATGCACATTTACTATAAGCATTTAAATTTATTTAATCATATTGTTACTTATGTTAATTTTCAATTTCTATCTTAATTATTATATATCTAAAATTCAAGTAATTAATATGAAGAAAATTTTCTCACGTGCAATGCATGTTTTTAATTACTAGTTTGCAAAATGTATGTATAGCATACAATAGTAGGACCCACCAAAAGAGATGTTTCATTCCTTATCGGCATTTTATCTTCTGTATTGATTTCAAAAGATACTATTGTCGACACAAATTTCGTGTTAAATTTGAAGCACAAAAAAAATGCGGACAAATTCAAAGGTTAGAACCAACTTAAGTTCTACTAAAAAATAAAAATTTATGTAGTTAATTAAATTTCCTAAGGAATTTAAATTTAACAAAAACTTTATATAATTAAATAAATTCAATTTTTACTAATTTAAAAAATTAATTTTAAATATAGTTTAGTTATTTTAAAATCAACTTAAAAACTTATGAAACTCCATTTAAAAATAAGGAAAATTCTATAAAAAACTCATTGGGTTTTCTAAAAAACTTATGAAACTCCCCACTTTTTTAACCTCAACAAAAACCTTCCTTATTGTTTTGAAAAAAAAGGTGCAAATACCTTCCTTTTGTCAGTATTCCAAATAAAAAATAAAAATTTGATTTAATGCATGAATTTAGTTCACTTCAACCTATTTACCTTTGTCCAAGAAGAGTAAGGAGAATTGTTCTTTGAAAGTTATCTAGTAAAAAAAAACTAGTGGAGGGTAAAGTTGAAACTTTAAATTATGTATGATAATGCATTAACAAAGATAATAGTATTTTGATAACTTCAATGCCTTTATTATCGAAAAGACAAGGGAAATGAGGTATTTGCACTTTTTTCTCAAAATTATAGGGGAGGCTTTTGTTAGGGTCAAAACACAAAGGTGGTTTATAAAATTATTATAAGAGGACAATTTTTTTATAATTTTACCTAAAAATAGTATAAAAATAATAACAAACCAATAAAAATTAACATTAAGATATAAAAAAATAGGGCAATTTCCTTAAACTACCCCTACTATTTAGCTAATTGACTAACTCTACCCTTACTGTTTAACTATTGTTTTGCACTACCCCTACTATTTCTGACAATTAACTAATTAATCCCCTACCATTAGGGTTCCATCATAATATGCTCACAAGCCACACCATGTGAGTGTTATATTTTGAAAAATGATAATAATACCCATATCTTCACCTCAACGGTGTTGAATGTCTGAAAGGTGTCATGCCTGTCGTCTGAATCTGATCTATGTTCGTTGTGCAAAAAAAAAAATGATTTATAGGTTCGTTTTTTTATAGAGATTAGAATGCCGATTTGACAAAATCAA